CATCCATCTTGTATCATGATCAAGGCATCAAGCTAAACTCTCCTGGTTTGAATTGAGTTTACCTCCCAAAAATGGGGCATAATTTGTTCATGTTTTTTTTGAAAAGATGAAAGTAGTGTGTTGAACAATGTGCTAAGATTTGTTTCTACCTTGAAATTTTTGTTCAACAGTAGCTTATGATTATGTCATTAATATGCATGAAAAATTAAACATATTATTGTCTCATCTCATCAAATCCATACTTGGTATGATTCCAGATGATCCACAAATTCACATCGGATGCATTGGTTACAATGAAGTTGAATGTAGAAGAAGCAAAAATAGATGGCAAAGAAATTCTTTGTGTCTTATGAAGAATTAGTAGAAATCAATAAAAAGAACTCTTTAAACAAATTGTAAACAAATTTAAATTTGCTCATGGTCAAGCAACCTAGTCAAAGAAGCAAAGTCTGTCTTCAACATGTGACCTTTCCAATTGTTTAGTTTCTTTGTACAAAATACTATTTTCGAGAAACTTGATTTTTAAGTCTTTCATTAATATTTTTTTACCAAGAGATAAAAGGAACTAATTCAAAGGCTTGATGTAAAATACAAAGATTTAACATGTTGTTTATCATTTAATTCCCAAATGTTAGTTTGTACATATAAATAATTAGTATTGGTAGCTGTAAGTTGTTTAAGCAAAACAGAAGAGTAGTAGTGCTTGAAGGGGTTAGCATTTTTGAAAAATTATATCTTGTTCATGACATATATTACACAATTCCAAAAAACTGTAAGTGATACACAATAATATCTATAAGAACTTGATAAATTTCTTCACCTACACTGTCAAATAACTATTTTGCCTTCATGCAGCAGTGTTTTGTCAGAGAAAGCAATGCACTTTAGTTTCCAAGTTTGTAATTTCAATGGAAAATTAATGTAGTTCTGTTCAGTAATAGATCCAAGATTCTGCCAAACTGTTTACAAAATACAAATTACCAGGCAACAGTGTCATGGTGTTTTGAATTTTTTTCTTTTTTGTAGCTCTTCTAGTTCAACATACTTTCTTTATGAGTTTTCAGTAGATTTATCAGGTAATGACAATACACTTATGATACTTATCCATGGTAAATTTTTAGTTGACTTATGTCGTAGGACTGAAGCAAACATTTTATCGCTTCCTTAGGAGCATTTTTACGCAGATTTATCCATTTGAAGCAAGAAAAATAGTTGCACCAAACGGTTTACAAACAGTCAAACACACAAAAGCATGAAATAATGTATAAGTTTGACGAGATTGACAGGTCTAGTAAAGAATGCCGTTTGATTTTCACTTTTAAAAGGCTAAAATGTCATAAAATAACTTAAATGTTACATCCAAAATATGTGTTCCTCTACCGTCGATCTTCTTAATTTTGATGTGTGTCTGTACTGTGTTTTCACGCAATGCTGAAACATTAATTTCACATGATATGCTGTCGGTATCGTAATTAATTTGTTTTTCTCACTTATTTCGTTCATACAAACAGTATTAGAAATCAGGAGGGAGTGAATATTGAAAAAAATTTTTAAAGTGGAAGTTTTGACCACCAAAATCCGCCATTACCGCCATGTTTTTGACCACGAGGCCCAGGCCCCTTTGCCCCTCCAGGTCTTATAGAGCTCAATGAGTTTTGCTGAGTCATGTGAACTTTGACCTCCACGCGATAGACTTTGTACATCACGCCATATACTTTCTACCGGATTTACGTAAATAAGCATATCAATTACAATATTATAAAAGGACGTTCACCGTCACCGACAATCATTCGAAGCGATGGCAGCATTTGATAAAGACACTCATTTTGAAGACGAACAGTTACAACTACAATCTCTGATAGAGGCGACGATGCAAGACGAAGCATTTTCAACTAACGGCGGCGGTGACGACGTCGATGGAATATTACCGTTTCTTACACAAGACAATTTCAAGACGCCTGAGAAAGCGGTGTCGGTGCCGATAGAGATTGCAGATAAAGATGATATTTTAGAAGACCGTGGAAACTTCGCATGTTGGAACGGAATTCAATTTTCATGCGGTCGATGTTCATGCGGTCAACTTTGATGCGGTCTATGTTGATGCGGTCAATGTTGATGCGGTCTATGTTGATGCGGTTAATGTTGATGCGGTCAATGTTGATGCGGTCAATGTTGATGCGGTCTATGTTGATGCGGTCGATGTTGATGCGGTCAATGTTGATGCGGTTAATGTTGATGCGGTCGATGTTGATGCGGTCAATGTTGATGCGGTTAATGTTGATGCGGTCAATGTTGATGCAGTCAATTTTGATGCGGTTACTGTTGATGCTGTCAATGTTGATGCGGTAAATGTTGATGCGGTCAATGTTGATGCGGTCAATGTTGATGCGGTCAATGTTGATGCGGTCAATTTTGATGCGGTCAACTTTGATGCGGTCAACTTTGATGCGGTCTTGATGCGGTCAATGTTGATGCGGTCAATTTTGATGCGGTCAACTTTGATGCGGTCAATTTTGATGCGGTCAATTTTGATGCGGTCAATTTTGATGCGGTCAATGTTGATGCAGTCAATGTTGATGTGGTCAATTTTGATGCGGTCAATGTTGATGCGGTCAATGTTGATGCGGTCAATTTTGATGCGGTCAATTTTGATGCGGTCAATGTTGATGCGGTCAATTTTGATGCGGTCAATTTTGATGCGGTAAATGTTGATGCGGTCAATGTTGATGCGGTCAATTTCGATGCGGTCAATGTTGATGCGGTCAATTTTGATGTGGTCACTGTTGATGCAGTTACTGTTGATGTGGTCAATGTTGATGCGGTCAATGTTGATGCGGTCAATGTTGATGCGGTTAATGTTGATGCGGTCGATGTTGATGCGGTCAATGTTGATGCGGTTAATGTTGATGCGGTCAATGTTGATGCAGTCAATTTTGATGCGGTTACTGTTGATGCTGTCAATGTTGATGCGGTAAATGTTGATGCGGTCAATGTTGATGCGGTCAATGTTGATGCGGTCAATGTTGATGCGGTCAATTTTGATGCGGTCAACTTTGATGCGGTCAACTTTGATGCGGTCTTGATGCGGTCAATGTTGATGCGGTCAATTTTGATGCGGTCAACTTTGATGCGGTCAATTTTGATGCGGTCAATTTGATGCGGTCAATTTTGATGCGGTCAATGTTGATGCAGTCAATGTTGATGTGGTCAATTTGATGCGGTCAATGTTGATGCGGTCAATGTTGATGCGGTCAATTTTGATGCGGTCAATTTTGATGCGGTCAATTTTGATGCGGTCAATTTTGATGCGGTAAATGTTGATGCGGTCAATGTTGATGCGGTCAATGTTGATGCGGTCAATTTCGATGCGGTCAATGTTGATGCGGTCAATTTTGATGTGGTCACTGTTGATGCAGTTACTGTTGATGTGGTCAATGTTGATGCGGTCAATGTTGATGCGGTCAATGTTGATGCGGTCAATTTTGATGCGGTCAATGTTGATGCGGTCAATGTTGATGCGTCAATGTTGATGCGGTCAATTTGATGCGGTCAATGTTGATGCGGTCAATTTTGATGTGGTCACTGTTGATGCAGTTACTGTTGATGTGGTCAATGTTGATGCGGTCAATGTTGATGCGGTCAATGTTGATGCGGTCAATTTGATGCGGTCAATGTTGATGCGGTCAATGTTGATGCGGTCAATTTTGATGCGTCAACTTTGATGCGGTCAACTTTGATGCGGTCAACACGATGCGGTCAACTTTGATGCGGTCAACTTTGATGCGGTCAATGTTTGCGCGGTCAATGTTGATGCGGTCACTGTTGATGCGGTTACTGTTGATGTGGTCAATGTTGATGCGGTCAATGTTGATGCAGTCAATGTTGATGCGGTCAATTTGATGCGGTCAATTTTGATGCGGTCAATGTTGATGCGGTCAATGTTGATGCGGTCAATGTTGATGCGGTCAATGTTGATGCGGTCAATGTTGATGCGGTCAATTTTGATGCTGTCAATGTTGATGCGGTCAATTTGATGCGGTCAATTTTGATGCGGTCAATGTTGATGCGGTCATGTTGATGGTCAATGTTGATGCGGTCAATGTTGATGCGGTCAATGTTGATGCGGTCAATGTTGATGCGGTCAATGTTGATGCGGTCAATGTTGATGCGTCAATGTTGATGCGGTCAATTTTGATGCGGTCAATTTTGATGCGGTCAATGTTGATGCGGTCAATGTTGATGCGGTCAATTTTGATGCGGTCAATTTTGATGCGGTCAATGTTGATGCGGTCAATGTTGATGCGGTCAATGTTGATGCGGTCAATGTTGATGCGGTCAACTTTGATGCGGTCAATGTTGATGCGGTCAATGTTGATGCGGTCAATGTTGATGCGGTCAATGTTGATGCGGTCAATGTTGATGCGGTCAATGTTGATGCGGTTACTGTTGATGCGGTTACTGTTGATGCGTCAATGTTGATGCGTTGATGCGTCAATGTTGATGCGGTCAATGTTGATGCGGTCAATGTTGATGTGGTCACTGTTGATGCGGTTACTGTTGATGTGGTCAATGTTGATGCGGTCAATGTTGATGCAGTCAATGTTGATGCGGTCAATTTTGATGCGGTCAATTTTGATGCAGTCAATGTTGATGCAGTCAACTTTGATGCGGTCAACTTTGATGCGGTTAATGTTGATGCGGTCAATTTTGATGCGGTCAATGATGCGGTCAATTTTGATGCAATTTTGATGCGGTCAATTTTGATGCGGTCAATGTTGATGCGGTCAATGTTGATGCGGTCAATGTTGATGCGGTCAATGATGATGCGGTCAATTTGATGCGGTCAATTTTGATGCGGTCAATTTTGATGCGGTCAATTTGATGCGGTCAATTGATGCGGTCAATGTTGATGTGGTCAATGTTGATGCGGTCAATGTTGATGCGGTCAATGTTGATGCGGTCAATGTTGATGCGGTCAATGTTGATGCGGTCAATTTTGATGCGGTCAATTTTGATGCGTCAATTTTGATGCGGTCAACTTTGATGCGGTCAACTTTGATGCGGTCAATGTTGATGCGTCAACTTTGATGCGGTCAATGTTGATGCGGTCAATGTTGATGCGGTCAACTTTGATGGGGTCTATGTTGATGCGGTCAACTTTGATGCGGTCAATGTTGATGCGGTCAATTTTGATGCGGTCAATTTTGATGCGGTCAATTTTGATGCCGAAAACTAATCACATTGCCGAACATCACCAAATCACAAAGGACAACATTTACTGGGACTCGGCATCATATTTTATTATTTTAGACAGAACTTTTATGACAGTGAACTTTCTAGAATAAAATCATATTTTATATCCATTGGACAGAACTTTAGAGGTACTTGACCTTTGACCTTTCTTACTATTTATAGTAACATGTTACTATTATTAGCATCGACCTTGAGCGACCTTGTAATTTTGCTGAGTCATGTGGACTTTGACCTCCACGTGATAGCACGTGATGGAATTTGCACATCACGCCATATACTTTCTACCGGATTTACGTAAATAAGCATATCAATTACAATATTATAAAAGGACGTTCACCGTCACTGACAATCATTCGAAGCGATGGCAGCATTTGATGAAGACACTCATTTTTAAGACGAACAATTACAACTACAATCTCTGATAGAGGCGGCGATGCAAGACGAAGCATTTCCAACTAACGGCGGAAGTGACGACGTCGATGGAGCAGAAAGTCAGACTGAATATTTAATATTTTTACTCGTACTTTTTTATTGGAATTTTCTTATTGAATTGTATGATTTAAATCTTCCTTCAATTCCTTATAAATTATAAATATCTATAATTTGTACAAGTGTGCCGTGAACATAATGATAATTGAAATATTAACTAATTAGAACAAATCTACTTTTCGATGTCGTATTTTCTATTTGTGAAAAAGCATATTTTTATTGCCTCTTATTGCGCTCTTATGCCTCATTTACATAAAAATCCAAAATGTTTTCAAGACGTGAAAAGAATTGTTGTCATATTCCAGGGTCATAGGTCGGAAAACTGATTACGTCACAAACCATTTTCACGACAGAAATCGAATAATAATCGGCGAATACCGATAGTTTCCACCGGATGTTTTGCTAGAATCAGTAAAGTCAGTCATGGCTTTGTTATTGTGAAATTGAGGGTCAGTGTTTATTTGTTGCTTTTATTGCATTCAAAGCTACAAATTTTCGATAATGACTTCACGAAAGCGTTGCTACAATGGATTATGACAGTGAACTTTCTAGAATAAAATCATATTTTATATCCATTGGACAGAACTTTTATGACAGTGAACTTTCTAGAATAAAATCATATTTATATCCATTAGACAGAACTTTTATGACAGTGAACTTTCTAGAATAAAATCATATTTTAAATCCATTGGACAGAACTTTTATGACAGTGAACTTTCTAAAATAAAATCATATTTTATATCCATTGGACAGAACTTCAGAGGTACTTGACCTTTGACCTTTCTTACTATTTATAGTAACATGTTACTATTATTAGCATCGACCTTGAGAGACCTTGTAATTTTGCTGAGTTATGTGAACTTTGACCTCCACGTGATATCACGTGATGGACTTTGTACATCACGCCATATACTTTCTACCGGATTTACGTAAATAAGCATATCAATTACAATATTATAAAAGGACGTTCACCGTCACTGACAATCATTCGAAGCTATGGCAGCATTTGATGAAGACACTCATTTTTAAGACGAACAGTCACAACTACAATCTCTGATAGAGGCGGCGATGCAAGACGAAGCATTTTCAACTAACGGCGGCGGTGACGACGTCGATGGAATATTACCGTTTCTTACACAAGCACTTTGTTGGGCCCGGTTCAAACGTCGCATTTTACATGCGCCGAATCAAATCTGAGTTTCAGTCGACTAAAATAGTTTTATGCATAGTTTGATTCAGACGTCGAATTTAATAGTCGCATTTATTATAGTTATGCTTCCACTTTTTCATAGTTTATTCATTTTCTTGTACTAATTTCCTAAAATGGCGAACAGAAAAATGTTGAGTTTATGCATTTCAAATATGATTCGTGTTAATAGGAAAAGACGAATATTGATACATGTTACAGCAAATAAACTATTAGAAACGAGACGGCAGCTTCTGCAAATTTCCATGTTTTCTACCGTTAATTGCTCAAACAAAGCCTTCATACGTAGCCCTCCTTATCGATCATGTCGAAGGCTGGTGGAAGAAAGTTTGAGTATTTATTCTGATCTTCGATTCAAAAACATTTCGTGTATCTCGAGGAAACTTTCTTGTACATATAAATTTTGCACTTTAAACAAGTGTATTTTGTTAAACTTGTGCACGAAATACTCGCCGCCGCCATGTTTTTACAACTTTGCGCATGGCATTTAGCATGGAAACAATTGATTTTTGCTTAGAAATATCTTAAAATAAATTATGCATTTAATTCGGCTCATGTAAAATGCGACGTTTGAGGCCCAGTTCAAACGTCGCATTTTACATGAGCCGAATCAAATGCGAGAATTATGTGCATGTAAAATGCGACGTTTGAATCAATTAAATTCGACGGATTTTAATTTAATGCGACTTTAGATATTTTAAGATATTTCTAAGCAAAAATCAATTATTTCCATGCTAAATGCCATGCGCAAAGTTGTAAAAACATGGCGACGGCGAGTATTTCGTGTACAAGTTTAACAAAATACACTTGTTTAAAGTGCAATAAATTTATATGTACAAGGAAAGTTTCCTCGAGATACACGAAATGTTTTTTTGAATCGAAGATCAGAATAAATACTCCAAACTTTCTTCCACCAGCCGGAATTTCTATCTTGTCTTCGACATGATCGATAAGGAGGGCTACGTATGAAGGCTTTTGTTTGAGCAATTAACGGTAGAAAAACATGGGAAATTTGCAGAAGCTGCCGTCTCGTTTCTAATAGTTTATTTGCTGTAACATGTATCAATATTCGTCTTTTCCTATTAACACGAATCATATTTGAAATGCATAAACTCAACATTTTTCTGTTCGCCATTTTAGGAAATTAGTACAAGAAAATGAATAAACTATGAAAAAGTGGAAGCATAACTATAATAAATGCGACTGTTAAATTCGACGTCTGAATCAAACTACGCATAAAACTATTTTAGTCGACTGAAACTCAGATTTGATTCGGCGCATGTAAAATGCGACGTTTGAACCGGGCCTAAAGTCGCATTAAATTAAAATCCGTCGAATTTAATTGATTCAAACGTCGCATTTTACATGCACATAATTCTCGCATTTGATTCGGCGCATGTAAAATGCGACGTTTGAACTAGGCCTTAATATTTATAAAGTAAATGGTTTGAACCCGGGAGTATCGTTATATGTTTGTAAATGATGATCGTCCAGGTTAATAAAGTCCTGAGAAGGACTGTTTTTGATGTTGTTGACTGACGTTTCGACAACCTTAGCGGTAGTCATCTTCAGAGTCAAATGAGGAGTAAACGTCAGGTTAGCCGTATTTGTAGTCTGGTTCTTACGTCATTGTATTGTGTACAGGAAATGTGCAGGAAATGTGTATTGTCATTGTGGATTAGTGTGAAGTGAAATATTTTATTTTTAGTTGTGATGTGTGATTTGGGTGTGACGTTTTAGTTGTAGTGTGTGGGTGTCAATTGTGTATTGTCATTGTGAATTAGTTTGAAGTGTAATGTTTTAGTTGATCTTTGTTTGTATTGTGAATAAGTCGTTTGTAAGGTGCCGGTAATTGCTGTGATCTGTTCAGGGTTTGTTCCAAGTTGGTATACCAACTTTCTAATGTAAGCCGTTGTCTATAGTCAGTACTGTAAGTGATGCATTTTGCCGAGTCCCAGTCAATGTTGTGCTTTGTGATTCGGTGATGTTCGGCAATGTGATTAGTTTTGTCTTGTTTCTTAGTAGCTCGTTTGTGCTCAGTAAGTCTTATGTTTAAGTTCCTGCCAGTTTCCCCGATATAGGAGGCGTGGCAGTCGGAGCAGTTTATTTTGTAAACTGCACCTTGTCGTTCGTTGGGTTGTTCTTTGTCCTTTATGTTCGTTAGTACTTGTCGTAATGTTGTGATTGGTTTATGTGCGACACGTATGTTGTATGGTCGTAAGATACGCGAGATAGTCTCAGACGTACCTTTGATGTAAGGTATCGTTGCTGTTGTCACTGAGTTGTTCGTTTCGTTGGGTTCGTTGGGTTTGTAAGTGTTGCGTTTGATAAAGTCTGAGTTATAGTTGTTTTTGTCAAAACACGTTTGAGATAGTTGTTTTCGTTTTGTAGAGCGTCCGGTGAATCACATATGATTTGTGCACGTCTTGTTAATGTTCTGATTGTGGTGGCTTTGTGTGATGTAGGGTTGTAAGATGATTGGTCTAGTAGTCGGTCAGTATGTGTTGGCTTGCGATAAACTGTTGTTCCTAGTTTTTGATTGTCATGTTTTACCAAACAGTCGAGAAAAGGAAGAGTTCCGTTTTCTTCGACATCTTTGGTAAATTGTATGTGGCTGTTCTGTTTGTTGATGTGATTATGGAAGTCATCAATCTCGTCTGCATGTAGTGCTGTGATTGTGTCATCTACGTAGCGAAACCAAAAAGGTAGTGCATGTTTCTAAGTCATGAGTGCCCGTTCCTCTATAGATTGCATTACAATTTCAGCAACTACAACAGAAACGGGCGAGCCCATTGCTGTCCCTTGTAATTGTTTGTAGTGTGTTCCTTTGTATTGGAAGTAAGTCGAGGTGAGGCAGAGCTCTAGTAACTCCATAATGTCTTCTGTCGGTAATGGCAGTACGTCCGTGGTGTTTGTAATGAGGGTTTTTGTACAAGTAAGTGCCAGATTAAGTGGAATACTGGCGTATCTTACGACCATACAACATACGTGTCGCACATAAACCAATCACAGCATTACGACAAGTACTAACGAACATAAAGGACAAAGAACAACCCAACTAACGACAAGGTGCAGTTTACAAAATAAACTGCTCCGACTGCCACGCCTCCTATATCGGGGAAACTGGCAGGAACTTAAGCATAAGACTTACTGAGCACAAACGAGCTACTAAGAAACAAGACAAAACTAATCACATTGCCGAACATCACCGAATCACAAAGCACAACATTGACTGGGACTCGGCAAAATGCATCACTTACAGTACTGACTATAGACAACGGCTTACATTAGAAAGTTGGTATACCAACTTGGAACAAACCCCCCTGAACAGATCACAGCAATTACCGGCACCTTACAAACGACTTATTCACAATACAAACAAACGATCAACTAAAAACATTACACTTCAAACTAATTCACAATGACAATACACAATTGACACCCACACACTACAACTAAAAACGTCACACCCAAATCACACATCACAACTAAAAATAAAATATTTCACTTCACACTAATCCACAATGACAATACACATTTCCTGCACATTTCCTGTACACACAATACAATGACGTAAGAACCAGACTACAAATACGGCTAACCTGACGTTTACTCCTCATTTGACTCTGAAGATGACTATCGCTAAGGTTGTCGAAACGTCAGTCAACAACCTTAATATTTATATTAAGAATTCGCTTCCCGCCACTTCCCGCCACTTCCCGTCACTTCCCGTTATCCTGCCCGGTATATTTGATGAAACATTATTATGCATGATACATGTCTCGTAACTTTGGCTTTGGAAATCCTACTTCAGATGATCACAAATTATATAACACACATATGTCTATAGCAATAACGCTAAATCACTAAAATGTTTTTGTGTATACTTTATATACTTGTATTTTTTTTTACTTCATCAATAAGTCCCGACTGACCTAAATACCCACTTAGACACAGAAAGGATGAAGTACGTATTTATAAAACAGAAAGATGAATTATCCACAAATATAAAGAATGAACAAAAAATCACATTTATGCTATAAATTGACCTGAGTATACTTACTTCGCTCTAGTCACTCACTGCAGTCGTTGCCAACCAGTAGTGTCGTTGTTTCATTTGTGAAAGACAAGTTTCAACGGTCATTTGGACGACCAGCTTAGAAGTACAAGTCCCTCATGCACAGAGAAACAATCTTACAAAAGAAAAGACAAAACAAGCGGTGACGTCATCGCAGGTGCTGACGTCAGAACTATTGGCGTTAGAGAAGATGTTTACGGTGCTTCAAATGATAAAGTGCTAACATTAAATGTCTCGGGTAACAGTAACATAGGAAAGGATTTGATGAAGAAGAAAATCCAAGAATGAACATTCAGATGACTTTGTTGAGCTTAAAAATGATGAATTGGTAAAGAAAAGAAACGATGGAGATTGTTTCTTGCATAATAGAACAAGCTCCATGGATTCTTTGCAATAAAATTCAGTGGAAAGCGATCGAAAAATCAATGATAATGACGATAACGGGAAGGCCTTGCTTTCATCAAAAACAGCCATGGACAAGTTTAAAGACTTCTTGGTCGACACTAAAGGCGAAAGTTTGCTTCTGCTTTGGCTGCAAATTGAGTATTGGAAACATATTAAAAATAGCGAAGAAAGAAAAAGGTAAACATCGTTTGAAGCAGAGATAATGTGTAAAAGTGAGAGTATATCGTGTGAAACAGAGGGAGTACTGTGTGAAACAAGGAAATATTGTGTGAAACGGAGGGAGTACTGTGTGAAACAGGGAAAATATCGTGTGAAACGGAGGGAGTACTGTGTGAAACAGGGAAAAATTCGTGTGAAACAGAAAAAATTTTGCATGAAACTCTGTCGTACATTTATAACCGGGTATTTGAGCTGCACATGCGCATTTTTCTTGCTCATCTGTAGATATGTTCAGGAAATGAAACAACAATATGGTTCGCCATTGGAGTTACCACGTAAGATAAAGAAAGACATGTTATCAGGATTAGCTGAAGATATGAATGAAGCACAGAAAATCGTTGAAGAACCATTGTTAAACTATTGGTAATTCATTTTTATAATGTATAGTGAACATTTGGGGAACTGAAAACAAATACTAGATAGATTTTCTGAAAGTTTCAGTCATCCTTGAGCTCGCTTGCATTAAAAAAGTTCTCGCCTAGCATTTTTTAGCTTTCCTAAATATTAACTCTGAACATTCTTCTTGTTCGATAGGTGTGAAAGGTTCACGTTGCATGAAGTAAATATTTCGAAAAAAGTTCATTCATCTTCAAAAATGTCCCCATCAATACACATTCATACACCGATACATATTTCACCATATCCCACCAACGCTCAATTCATTCCTAGACCACATCCATACAACACACCACAATCCCTCTACGATCAATACATCCTTAGACAAAACTCATACAACACACCACAATCCTCAACGCTCAATACATCCACAGACCACACTCCTACAAAACACCACAATCCCTCAACGCTCAATACATCCCTAGACCACATTCATACAACACACCACAATCCCGTATAGTTAGTTATTCCAGCAGTAGTTCACATTGGGAAAGCAACATATCATTACAACACGTGAGTCGCACATGCAACAAATGGAAACCGACGCACCTGAGATCAAAGTCAGCACGTGGACGCAAAGTGACGACGCCTTATCACACGAACGCTGGGAAGCGACAGCTTGAGGTGACGGATGATGTGATTTCTACAGTTGTGTTGCATCAAGAGATAATTTATTGCAGAAACGTCCTAAATTTTTATTCAGATATACGCAACGCCAGAGATGGAAAATTCGGATTTCAAAAACGACCAATCAGCGCGTTTCCAAGATGTTCTGACGTGGAATATTTTTCACCAATCAGACTTGTCATTGCTCCAAGAATCGCGCCCAGTTTGAGTACAGTCTTGGAACAAAGGTAATCACTCTTTGATTGGCTTATTCAAACATTTAATGAATCATTCTTCCCATCTGACGCTTATCTCGGTCATTCTAACCCCCCCCCCGTCACCAAATGTCAGTTTTAATGTTTCATAAATGATCAAATTGACTCAGGATTTGGAATATTCACTATATGATTTCTTCAAAAAATGGTATGACTTCATGGACGATGCACGTGGACAGCAGTCACGTGATACAGTCGAGGAGGACGAAACCTATGACGTAGAGTGGTCGCTCGTGATAGTTTGGAGTACCAGACCGAATCTGGAAGTTTCCTGAAAGATTTCGTATCAAAAGAAAGCAACGAAGTAAATTATACTCTCTTTTTTCATGTTTTAACATTTTAATCCTTTAAGTAAATGGTTTGAACCCGGGAGTATCGTTACATGTTTGTAAATATAGATCGTCCAGGTTGGTATAGTCTTGAGAAGGACTTGTTGTTGTTGACTGACGTTTCGACAACCTTAGCGGTAGTCATCTTCAGAGTCAAATGAGGAGTAAACGTCAGGTTAGCCGTAATTGTTATCTGGTTCTTACGTCATTGCATTGTGTGTACAGGAAATGTGGGTGTCAATTGTGTATTGTCGTTGAGAATTAGTGTGAAGTGTAATGTTTTTAGTTGTGATGTGTGATTTAGGTGCGATTTTTTAGTTGTAATGTGTGGGTGTCAATTGTGTATTGTCATTGTGAATTAGTGTGAAGTGTAATGTTTTTAGTTGTGATGTGTGATTTAGGTGTGATGTTTTTAGTTGTAATGTGTAGGTGTCAATTGTGTATTGTAATGTTTTTAGTTGATCGTTTGTTTGTATTGTGAATAAGTCGTTTGTAAGGTGCCGGTAATTGCTGTGATCTGTTCAGGGGGGTTTGTTCCAAGTTGGTATCCACGTTTTAATCCTTCTTTCAAAAGTCGATTTTCTTGCAGTCTATAATATCTTGTTTTGATTTTTGAACAGGATCTTTTCCTATGATTCTTGTCTTCAGGGTTATGATTAATTTTCTCTTACTTTTTCAATTTTGTCCGTTTAGTTCTGGTCCAACTGCCTGTCTTTCTGGTAAGCGACGCGAGACTATTCCGCTTGTTTCGAAAGTGGTCCCTTCTGTTCTGAAACTGTGATTTTCAAGGCCAAGGTGAAGATTTTTAACATCTTTAGAAAGCTTTGTTAGCTTTAACGTTTTCAAAGTTCAAACTCTAAATTGATGTTTAAATAAAAGTAGGCTAGATTGTGAACTGTGAATGTGTTTGGGGAATTTTGGGGATATAAATTATGAACTGTGAATTTGTTTGGGGATTTTGGGGAGTGTTAAATGTGAACTATGAACGTGTTTGGGGATTATGGAGATATAAAATGTGAACTGTGAATGTGTTTGGGGATTTTGGAGGATATAAAATGTGAACTGTGAATGTGTTTGGGGATTTTGGGGATACAAATGTGAACTGTGAATGTGTTTGGGGATTTTGGAGGATATAAAATGTGAACTGTGAATGTGTTTGGGGATTTTGGAGGATATAAAATGTGAACTGTGAATGTGTTTGTGGATTTTGGGGGATACAAATGTGAACTGTGAATGTGTTGAAGGATTTTGGAGGTATAAATTGTACACTGTGAATGTTTTATGGGATTTTAGGGGATATAGAATGTGAACTGGGAATATTTTTGGGATTTTGATTGATATAACAGGTTTGTTATTTTGTATGAAGATATGATGAGCCTAATTTCATTATATTTTAGTGGATATACGAAAGATTCTTAGCTCCAGGGAGCGTCTGTGATATCAACGTTTCGTCCAACGTCAGAGAAAATATAAAGAAACACTTGGATCCGCCATACGAAGATCTGTTTGATGACGAAATTGATCACGTGTTGACGTGCCTCAAAGAACCATGGGATAGTCTTTGCCGTGATGAACGAAAGGAATACGAAATGGTGAGGAATTTATGAATTAATCAAAACTCCATGATAGAGATACATAGTGTGGGAAGTTGGATAGTAAGAACGCAGACGAGATGGGGGGGGGGAGGCTGAGACAGATATATGATCTAATTGTTAACGCTGATCAGTATAAACGAAGTTTCATATCTTAATAAAGTAAATGGTTTGAACCCGGGAGTATCGTTACATGTTTGTAAATGATGATCGTCCAGGTTGGTATAGTCCTGAGAAAGACTGTTTTTGTTGTTGTTGACTGACGTTTCGACAACCTTAGCGGTAGTCATTTTCAGAGTCAAATGAGGAGTAAACGTCAGGTTAGCCGTATTTGTTATCTGGTTCTTACGTCATTGTATTGTGTGTACAGGAAATCTGTATTGTCATTGTGAATTAGTGTGAAGTGTAATGTTTTTAGTTGATCGTTTGTTTGTATTGTGAATAAGTCGTTTGTAAGGTGCCAGTAATTGCTGTGATTTGTTCAGGGGGGTTTGTTCCAAGTTGGTATACCAACTTTCTAATGTAAGCCGTTGTCTATAGTCAGTACTGTAAGTAATGAATTTTGCCGAGTCCCAGTCAATGTTGTGCTTTGTCATTCGGTAATGTTCGGCAATGTGATTAGTTTTGTCTTGTTTCTTAGTAGCTCGTTTGTGTGCAGTAAGTCTTATGTTTAAGTTCCTGCCAGTTTCCCCGATATAGGAGGCGTGGCAGTCGGAGAAGTTTATTTTGTAAACTGCACCTTGTCGTTCGTTGGGTTGTTCTTTGTCCTTTATTTTCGTTAGTACTTGTCGTAACGTTGTGATTGGTTTATGTGCGACACGTATGTTGTATGGTCGTAAGATACGCGAGATAGTCTCAGACGTACCTTTGATGTAAGGTATCGTCGCTGTTGTCACTAAGTTGTTCGTTTCGTTGGGTTGGTTGTGTTTGTAAGTGTTGCGTTTGATAAAGTCAGAGTTATAGTTGTTTTTGTCAAAAACACGTTTAAGACAGTTGTTTTCGTTTTGTAGAGCGTCCGGTGAATCACATATGATTTGTGCACGTCTTGTTAATGTTCTGATTGTGGTGGCTTTGTGTGATGTAGGGCTGTAAGATGATTGGTCTAGTAGTCGGTCAGTATGTGTTGGCTTGCGATAAACTGTTGTTCGTAGTTTTTGATTGTCATGTTTTACCAAACAGTCGAGAAAAGGAAGAGTTCCGTTTTCTTCGACATCTTTGGTAAATTGTATGTGGCTGTTCTGATTGTTGATGTGAGTATGAAAGTCATCAATGTCGTCTGCACGTAGTGCTGTGATTGTGTCATCTACGTAGCGAAACCAAAAAGGTAGTGCATGTTTGTAAGTCGTGAGCGCCCGTTCCTCTATAGATTGCATTACAATTTCAGCAACTACAACAGAAACGGGCGAGCCCATTGCCGTGCCATGTAATTGTTTGTAGTGTGTTCCTTTGTATTGGAAGTAAGTCGAGGTGAGGCAGAGCTCCAGTAGCTCCATAATGTCTTCTGTCGGTAATGGCAGTACGTCCGTGGTGTTTGTAATGAGGGTTTTTGTACAAGTAAGTGCCAGATTAAGTGGAATACTGGTGAACAGTGATTTCACATCAAAAGACACTAGTATATAGTTGGAGGCTATCCTGCTTCTGATCTCGTCTTTGGTTGTCTCTGACAAGTCTCTTTGATACGCTAGGACAGCCTCGACACTTGATACTATCGTCTCAGTCGGGATTCGTTTAGGTGTTATGGAATGTTTTAGTCCGTAAGATAGTAGTCGCGTTTCAGTTTCGTCTAATGAGCGGGAAGAAATATTCCTCACCCAGTTATCGTCATGTTTATGTCTTGTTCGTGTTTTAGTTTGTTTTAAACGTTCAAGTTTTGTTGTTGTTTGATTTGGTGTTGTGTCTCTGTCTTGTTTGCTCGTTTCTCTGCAATATCTTAGATACCAAAGAGTGAACAGTTGCGTTACATTACGGTGAAATTGAACGACAACAATTCACGACGAAAAATATCTTTGTTATCGAACGAAGTAAGTTCATTGTAAAACTTGAAACAGAATTTTCAATTTTGTGTTTCACGTGTTTCTAAACTTCCAACACTCGTCAGAGTTTATTGCGGTAAAATCACAAAATTTTAACATAGAGAAAGTTATCATCAGTGATTTTTGTGCATGTGCAAATATTTCAGTGATTTACCACAAAACTAAACCGAGAGGTAGTTTCCCTCCATGGACAGTTTTTCTACCCTACTTGGACAGTTTTTTCTCTCCCCCTTGGACAATTTTTCTCCTCTCCCTGGACAGTTTTTCTCTCCTCCCTGGACAGTTTTTTCTCTCTCCCCTGGACAGTTTTCTTCCCCTCTCTGGACAGTTTTTTCTCCCCACCCTGGACAGTTTTTCTCCCCTACCTGGACAGTTTTTCTCTCCTCACCGAATAGTGTTTCGTTAGAATCTTCTGTGAGCCAAATAATAATCCGGGGGGTGCACGCTTCTGACACTTGCATGAGTGCTCGCTTGCATAAAAAAACCCCGGAAATTGTCTACTGTATGTTAGTATTCTTGGGGTGAATCTGCTTTTATGAAGTCATTTCTATTCGTTCTAGACTTCTAGTTGACAGACGTTAAGGACCAGTGTAAAGGAAAAAATTAGCTTTTAAAATTATAGTTTCATTAAAAGGAGCTTTTAAAATGACAGTGGACTTTGTAAAACTGTTTTGTCATATCTCTTTGCATTCTCAACATATTAAAGTTGTGTGATGTCCAATTTATGGAGAAAGTGACCTCACGTTGCGTAATGAGTTGCTGCAAATTTGTAATTTGAATGAAACACGTATGCAGAAATTCTCATTATGCAAAAGTGACGTCATTTCCTCCACAAACCTTGAGAATGCAGAGTTCTGATTAAACTCACCGTCATTTTACGAGTTCTTTTCAATGAAATTATAATTGCAACATCATATTTATCGTTTTGTCGTTTTACTTTCCCGAACTGACTTTAGTCTTTATGATGAAATTTCGTTCACCCAACTATTTATTGTCTATCTTTCGACAGTTGGACGATCAAGAAGGAAAAGAAAATTTCGAAAGTGGAAGATACGATGTGGAAGATGTTAAAAACTCGTTACCAGTCCCTCCAGACGGAGTGAACTTTGAAAGTTTGATGAAAGACAGAGAGGAACTTGAGGGATTTCAGAGAATTTTCCCTGCCAGTGATGGCATTGTGAACGAAAACATGGTCGAACGAAAAACATCGAGCTTCTGTAACCTGTACTTCATGCAAGAAATGCAGGTTACAGAAGCTAGATGTTTTTATTGCTATTTGAAAGCCGTAAAAACATCTAGCTTCTGTAACATTCATTCATTCTGAAATGTACAGCCTGTTGATAGACACCTACATCAAAGAGCCAAGTGAACGAGAAAGGTTATTTAATGCTATTGAACATCTACCATGAGTGAAAAAGAAGGCAGACTGGGCACTTGACTGGATCAATCCTGATAAGGTAAGTCATGTGATTTAACTGGTCAGCAGTCAACATTACTTCGATAAAGGCTCAGATATGACATTATTCCAATACAGGCTTCTTTTGGTGAACGAATCGTAGCATTTGCTGCTGTTGAAGGAATATTTTTCTCTGGATCTTTTGCTTCAATTTTCTGGTTGAAAAAACGAAATTTGATGCCTGGACTTACGTTTTCAAACGAACTTATAAGTCGAGACGAGGTAATGCCGATGTGTGTTTTGATTGGTTGGTTTTCTTTTATCATCTGTTTTGATTGGTTGGTTTATTTTATCATCTGTTTTGATTGGTTGCTTTTCTTTTATCAACTGTTTTGATTGGTTGGTTTTATTTTATCATCTGTTTTGATTGGTTAGTTTTATTTTATCATCTGTTTTGATTGGTTGGTTTTATTTTATCATCTGTTTTGATTGGTTGGTTTTATTTTATCGTCTGTTTTGATTGGTTATAAATATAACAATGTTTCAGGGACTTCATTGTGATTTTGCTTGCTTGCTTGATCAAGTAAGCAATCAAAATCACAATGACAAAACCTTTCGCATATGGCATAAGTAACCGGTAATTCTTTCTCAATGTATCGATCGACGTTGGGAGAAATTTGTGAGACATAGTGAAGTTATTTTCAATGGGCTTGCCTGTCAGCTTTTCGTTAGTGACTGATGACAGATTTTGCAAAAATACTAAGTTTTACTAACCATCTTGTAAAATCCAAGTCGATACAATCTTTCAGTTTGTACTTCGACTTGAAGCTGTTGGATGTTGAACAACGTCACCTTTTAGTTTCACGACGATATTACTGCTAAAATAAAGCAGTCTTTTCTAAAATTTTAGAGGCAGAATACTCCTGAACGTCCGTACTTGATTTCTGAAAAGAAGTAGTGTCTTTAGTTGTCTCAACTGACTTTGAAAGGCGAAAAGAAACAGCACAATATAGACTTTGCATTGTCGTCCACAAATACAAAATTACGCTTACATGTCGTGCCACCAGCTGGTTGTCTATTGGTTTATTGTTATGCATGAATTTGATTGGTTGTCACAGGCCAATAAGCTTCTTTTTTCGGTTTCACGCCAGGTTTTTATTGGAGCGATTCTACACAATAAAACTGGTTTGAAGAATTAAATCCGATCATTCAGAAGCTGATTCTTCTTGCTTGAACATGAGGTATGTCGCCTTGAATGTTTCTATTTTTTAAAGAGAAATTCTATCTATTTTATTTTAATTTGCACAAATGTATTTTTGAAAAAATTTTGCCAAATGTACAATATTTTTTTAGAATTTTATAAATTTTCTAATGTGTTATTATTTTATTAAAAAAACTTTTCTATTTCATTACATATTTGTTTTACAACTTTTACCTTTTTTATTTTTTTTTTATTTTCTTTATGTTTACTTTTTAATTTTTTTGGTTTGATTTAAAATTATTTTAATTCGTGTAAGTAATTTCCTTACATTTATTCTCTTTTACACGCATAATGCTTGTGGTGAGCCGTGCAGTATTCAATACCAATGACTAACGCATGCGCATTAGTGTAAAAGCGAGTCTTCACCATTGATCTTAATATAGGCTGGATTACGCATTGAATCGACATGTAGATGTTAACATTGAACTCGATTCTCAAATTCGAAAGGGAAAACAATTTCTTTGAAACACAAAGTTGTTCTGAATACGGTGAAGTTTTATTCACTGTAAATTAAATACAAACTAAATGAGTCGATCGCAGTTCATCTCGAAATCAGTTCGAAATTTGATGCAATCAACTGCTTGAACTATCATCTTCAAAATGGAAAATGGCGACTTAAATCTTTTTAAGCCCTTAAAAAAATGGTGCTGACAACTTGCTCATCGTTTTAGTATGTTTTTACGGTACTAAAGAACCTTTACAGTAAGTGTTTCAAACTTTAAAACATTGACTTACATCCACAGCTCAAATTCACTCATCCATTCAAACGACCAAACAAATTTTTTTGATATGTTAGAATGAATAGTTCTTTTATGCGGATGTTTTGTAAAGTCTTTTGCATTATTATCTTCATTCATTTAAGTTCTAATCATCCAGTATTGTACATCATAATTTTTGTATAATTAAGAACGCACATTTTGCATTATTTCTTTCCCAATACATCTCACTTGTAATTACAGACATTGTAATTTGTATGTCAATGCAGTACATCAACCTGACATTGTCATTCTACGTTACAATGCATTTTACACTTGACCCAGTTTTTGGTTAGGTTGTCTTCTGTTATATTAGGAATATGTTACTTTAGCTCTTCCAGAAAAGATGTGTTGTTTTGTAAGTACACCATAGAAATTCCATCATACGACCATTAAAATATTTATATATACACACATACTGCAAGCAACGTTCAAAATATTTCAATTTCTCAAAATGTTAATAACACAGTTTTAGTTTTGTACATGTATAATCAAACTGAGGTAGCACAGCAGTTATGGAAGGTTATACTGCCTTTGAAAGACCCATCTAAAAGAACTTTTTGTATAGAATAGCAGAGTAAAACATGTTTTCATGTGGTGGTTCATTACCGTTGTGTTTTTGCAGTTGTATTCGAGTCTAATAAAAAACTAACTTGGCATTCAAAATCATTATGCATGGCTGATCTTGTTTAGTCAGTGCTGTTGTACATAGTTTTCAACATTTTAACTTAATGTCATTCTTTTTGCCTCTGATTAAAATGCTATAGTTTACTGCATTTAATTTATATAAAATTATTAAATTTTTTATTTTAAGAATGCTTTGCTAAACTGCCACATTCTTCTATCATCACGATAGGAAAATTTGTATGATCAGAATCACAGAAAGGCTTAAAGTCGCAAATATTAATGTAATTGTTTGACTAGTTTTATATTAAATGTGTCATCCAATCCTATATTAGATCAGTGGTTTTTTACACATTCTTGTTAAAGGGCCTTGACGTCCTTAACACAGGACTTCTGGTTCTTAAACAAAATTCAAACATTCTTTTAGAAAATTGGTTCAATTCTTTAACTTTTGTCTCGTTTAAAAATGTTTGAAAGATTTTCAGACTAATCTTTGATAACATGTTCATTCACATTTATAGTCCACAACACTTTAAAAGATATCTTGCTGTGAAACAAGAAAAAATGAGAGTCCCCCATTGGCCATATCAAGAAACAGTGGCTGCTGCAGAAGTCAATGATAAATCAATTAGGAACTGGATAAATGAACAATTGTAATTTATAGAGTCAATCAATTTTATCTATTCCATTTGTTGTACCAAGAACATGTTGTATATATTTATGTATTTCGGTAACGTCGACATAAAAACTTGTTGCTATTGGCGAAAAAACGAGTAAACACCACAACTGTAATAAATATTGGCTGAACTCAAAAATGCACATTACCATATTGTGGCGAATTTTTTCATTAATTTGTATAAATTTTTCTTATTGTCTTTGGTGTCAACAGTAAAAAATATACAGCTTTAAAAATTATTATGTCAACATCGACAAAAGTGGCAGTGTTTCTCAAATTCATCGCATATTATTCTTTCGACACAAATGCAAGCAATAGTTTCAAGGAAATCACTTTCGTTTTGTGAACGGAATTAGATATTCCCAGATATTCCCAGCACGGAATCGGCGGAATGAGGAGGTTGTAAATTTTATGTCATATATTGAGCATACACCTAAATATTGTCAAGTGAAGTTGTAAATTTTATGTCATATATTGAGCATACACCAAAATATTGTTAAGGTCACAAACCATTTACTGGTTGTTGTAGATTCATAAACAATAATCATATCTTATATAGTTTACAAAGTTTCCAACGTTTCTAAGATGATCATGACTTGCGTTCGTTTTGTGTATGTGTATACCTAAAATATGACAATCGCGCCAAGCGGAAAGCGAATTTTCAATATGAACATAATAGCCCAACATAAGACTTTTAAAAAAGCCATCACAATAGTAAAATGAAGAAAGATTTATTAATAACGTTTCGTCTTTAACTTAAGACATCTTCAGATTATTTGAGATAAATTATATACACGAGGTTTTAAATACAAGCATATATTCAGTCTGGAATGTGCGGTCGTAGCTTGTGATGACAGTACTCGTATCCGAGCGGGCTTTGTGTTTATTTCTTCTTGTAACAACTTATATTGACATTGTCGATAGGCGCTAGAAGATCGCATTCTGCGATGAGCAACTTTAAACCATAGGAATTGTGGTATTATTGAGCGTTTCTTACACGTTATAAGGAACTCTAGGTCGAGTTTGGCTCTTCCAAGCTTGAGTTCAAGACGCTGGAATTTCCTGAACGCTTCGAGTGCTCCGTTATTGTAGCGTTTATTCAAAATCGTGGCCTGAGATTTGCCAGGCGGAAAGCGAATTTTCAATATGAACATAATAGCCCATCATAAGACTTTTAAAAAGCCATCACAATTATAAAATAAAGAAAGATAAAAGGTTTTTTAATAATAACGTTTCGTTATGTCCAGTTGTATCAGATATATCAGTAATCTTATCATCAAATACTTCATCTGGCTTTATTTGTTGACAGTCATTGTCTTCATTTAGTAAGCTGACTTGCTCAATTTCATCATTGGTTAACAAACTACAATTACTTGTCTAGCTGCTGCTGGTAGTTTATACTGACAAATTAGTTTTTGTTGCTCCAGCCTTTATGTATGGTACTAACCACTGTAGAAAATTATAGTCCTCCAATTTTGTTTTAGAGGAAACAACAGCTGACAGAGATGTTCCAGTTTTATTTACTTTTTTAAAGTTATTTCTTCGCTTGCTGAATATCTTTTTTTTGCTGAATTTTGACATAAAAAAAATCTAATTAGTGTTAGTTTTAGAGTGGACATAAATAAAGAAAAATTTTGATAAATTGAAAGCTGTATATTTTATAGCAGACTGCAGTCTCTACATCCGCAGTCTCTACAATTTTGAAATCCGCAACTCAAGCACACCTATATTTAGTTTACATTGTTTTACCTTCCAATAGATTCAGATTTTCTGCCATATTTCTGCCACTTTTCTGCCAAATTTGGAACGACAAACTTGTCTTTATAATCCTTATATGTTTTGTCATATAAGCATGGAAACTTACGCACTTCCTCAGCCAACTTTTCATCAAATTTAATAGTTTCTGGATTATGTAATTGAACACATATTGAAGCCGCCATTTTAAATTCCTAAATTTTCATTCAAGATGACTTCATTTTGGCAATTAAATGACAATATCAAAAAAAATTTTTGATATTTTATCACGTTTTTTTAGTCGCCGTTTATGGCGATTTAAGTTGCTGTTTCAGGAACTTCAATCATATTAATATCATGAGAAAAATGTGCAGGTTTGCAGAAGATTTGTCGCATGATTATTATGAAAGAAACGCATTCTGATTGGTTTTAGACTCCGATGTAAATGATGGAGGGTTATTATTGTGTGGTAGTTGTGTATTATTACCCCTTAGTATAAAGCGGCACGAGTAAGGTACTTAAAAACCAGCAAGATACTCAACGAATTGAAATAATTTTTAATTCCTACACTTTCCTTTTAGTGGTTCACTTGGTTTCAGGAGAACAGGTAACTCTGACTTATTTATTAGTTTAAAACATGTTCGAAACACATTTTGTAATGCATAAACTTTTTACTCTACCTAAATTTTGTTTGTCCTTATTTCAGGTGCATTTTTTTTCCTAAAAAATTAATGGTTAATCAAATCGAATAGAATAATTAAACTTTAAAGTTTATATCAACCTTATACCGCGCCTGTGTGACATTTTTTCATCAAGGTATAATATTAAATCATAAAAATAGATTTTGTATAAACGTTATTTTCTTGGGAGAGTTACGTGCAAAAGCGAACATTTGTGTCTGTCTGTTAAGCCCGCCGTACACTGGTGAACTTGCCGTGCGTACTTGTCATTCGTGAGAGATGAGTCAAATATCAAACGCGTTTGATCTGTCACAAATGGCAAATGTTGTTCAAAACTTCCGCGCACACAAGGAAATTTTGTCGATCACACTTGTCACGAATAACAAGTACGCGCGGCAAGTTCACCATTGTGCGACGTGCTTAACAGAATGAGGGGGAGCTCACAATCACAATCAAATGGTAATGAATTTATCTTTAAAATTGTTTGAAACGTGAGATGAAATAAGATGAA